CTCGCTGTAGTATTGTTGTTGCCGCTGCCGCCATGTCGTGAAGGTGCTGTTTGTTTCGTTGTGAAAGCAAAACCACTTTGTTTGGCCTTCCAAAAGAGGCCGATATCTGCTTCGTCTTGTCTGGAGCTGATCCGTGCTGGTCGCTGAGGATATACATCAACTTCTCACTGTGGATCGGCTTTCACCGTGGACGAAGCGGAGTCCAGCCCTCGCTTTTCAGACCAATGAGCTTTCTAGAAAGGCGGGGCATAGAGGCGAAACAAAAATGTACAGTATGTGGAAAATAATGTGTTTTTTGAACCTTAAACCGCATAAACATTTCATTACAGCAAATACACAAAATAATGTTCTTTTTAGCAACATCATATGACCCCTTTAAGTGATTACTTCACTGATAATCCTCTCTATGGAGAAGCGATCAGCACAAAAGAATCGCTGAGTCAAAATTGACAGGACTCGTTACCCAAACCAACTACGGTCGCAAGTAACTTAATGTCGTTATAGTTCAATGTAATTTTAAAAACACAGTTCGCTAACGATGCTTTTGAGAAACACACCCCAGGTCTATCCAGTTTAATGTGAACCATTCACACTGGTTTCGTTAAACAAAATAAATGATTAATTTAACAGATTTAATCAAAAGAATCATCTGTTCACGAATCGGATCATGAACTCGCATTACCGCACCAAAGATAATCTATTCTTGAACACTTCGAATGAATAAAGACTTGCAAGTTCATCTGTAAATCACACAAAGCTATCGTTTGACTTTATAAACTTTTATTTCATGCATGATTCGTATGGATCTGTTAACTGAAAGCAAAGTGTGAATTCTAGGAGAATTCGTTGTCATTTTTCAATTAAATTATTAGAAAAATTAAACGTAGGCTAATGATAACCATTCAACACTTAAAATATTCGAAAATAGAAAAACGAGTTACTGGATAACATTTTTCAAAGATCAAGAACAACTTCCCTCAAGATGCTTCTTATATATACTGAGGTTTTAATTATTTTAATAGCTCAGTCGTAAATTAAAGTGGGCCGGTCTAAGGCATGAAACTCCAGGGCTGAAAATGAGTCCCACTCTGCCCTGGTCCCGGGTAATCCCTGCACTCGACTCCTGGTTTACTTTCACTTTCGTCCGTGCGTCGCAATAATCCCAAACTCGCGGTTTGTTCCGCTCACACATCACGTAATGATCATAATCCTTGAAAATCCTCTTCGGTAACCTTTGCAGCATCAATCCTGGCAAATTGATTTCCACTTCACGCAATTCCAATGTGAAGAAGTCTTTTGACTATATTGTAATGGCAATCCAAGCCATGTTCTTCACCATTTCCATTAAGGTGTGGCACAAAGGATTTGACGCGTGAATCCAAAACTTGTCTTGTAAATGTTTACTTTTTCTTTATCTTGTTACATTACAAAAGAAATTCAAAAACTTCTTTACACTTATTCTGTTTCCAAAAACATGAATTTTTCATGGTCAAAAGACTGTCTAGTTCCAACCTTTCCTTCTGTATTCTTCTTCAAAGTTTCTTATGCATACGTAATCTTCTTTGGGAATGGGAAGCCACTGAGGTCATCTGCTTTTACACTGGGAGGCTGTACTGCAGCTGGAGAAGACCCTTCTGCTCAAGTGCTCATCTTTGAGTCGGAACTGCATGGATGTGGTTGTACACTAACGGTGAGGTGTGTGTGTGTGGGGTTTTTTTTTTTTTTTTTCCCTTCCCTCTTAACCATTTATGGTTCTGACCGGTTTCTGTAACCAACATGCTTCTACTCCCTTTAGGTGACTGAAGATGAGCTTGTCTATACGTTCAAACTTGTGTACACCCCACAAGAGGTTTCATATGGTGTTCCTATTGTTAGGAGCAGTAGTGCGGTGGTTGGTATCGAGTGTCACTATTCAAGGTGAGGGCAGGATTCAAGGTTACTGGATGTACTAAACTCCATATAATGATTGTCTATCTAACTCCTCTGCAGAAAGCATAATGTGAGTAGCGATGCCTTAATGCCCACTTGGATCCCATATGCCACTTCTGAAGTTGCAGAGGAGATCTTTGTTTTCTCCCTCAGGCTCATGACTGGTTGGTATAACAAACTGTTTCATAACACGCTTGTGGACTTGTGCTAAAAGGCATCTTTGCAGATGACTGGCGATTCGAGAGACCTTCTAACCAGTACTTCCTGGGTGATATCATAAACTTTGAGGCGTCTGTGCAGTCATACAGCCATGTTCCCATCCGTGTATTTGTGGACAGCTGTGTGGCTACAACAGTCCCTGATGTTGCGTCTGTCACCAGATACTCCTTTATTGAGAACAATGGGTAAGTGGTGCACCTCATGAATCCCACTCTCTGCAAGTACTGCAGGAGGTCTAACTGGGTTCCTTTCCCAGGTGCTTGGTTGATGCCAAGCTCACAGGCTCCAAGTCTCGCTTTATGCCCCGAACTCAAGGTGATAAGCTGCAGTTTCAGCTGGAAGCATTCAGGTTCCATCAAGCAGACAGTGGACTGGTATGTGACAAGCTGTGCAACACTTTGTATAATATGCTACAATGGTCTACAAACCACTGTCTTTTGCAGGTCTACATCACATGCATATTGAAAGTGGCTGCAGCAACTACTCCTACTCCAATAAGTCCTGAACAGAAAGCTTGTTCGTTCTCTGCTAATGGGTGTGTTTTTCCCCCCCCCTAAGTAAGTGTACAGCTAACTTGGGGGATTGCCTTAACTTGAGGGTTTGTCTTGTCAGGTGGGTGTCCGCAGATGATTCTCACCAGGTGTGTGGCTGCTGTGACACCACCTGTAGTACCAGAAGTGGAAGCGATCAGATTCTTAAAGGTCTGGATCTGTTTTTATTCTTTTTCTCTCCATGCACTGCTTTTCTCACTGCTTGTTTGTTTCTCAGATCTGTGGTGGGATCGCGCATCTGTTGGACCCATTAAGGTGAAGGAATATGGCTATGGCCGAAAATAACTGGAAGTGCCATGTGAATTCTGTAAATTAAATAAAATTTATTTAGTCTTAATCAGTGTTGTTGTCTTAAGTCTACAACTGTTTGTATCCCGTTCTGTGTGGCTTTGCTGCTCTCCAGTATGAACTACAAACTCCCTGTAACCTAGCAATTTGGGGTACAAATGTATAAAGCAGTTGACCTCTTGTACATGGTGACTAAATGGTGCTAGAAGCCTTAAGTGGCAACCATGAGTTTCTGTTGCATACTGGATAAGGACCCATCTGGAATGCAATGAAAATAAGTGAGCACTGCATCAGTGTATGGTGTCAACTGGCTTTCCAGTTTAATGGTCTTCACTGCTGCATAATGTAGCATCTAGAAATGCATGCATTGCCTCATATCTTGCTTTTGCTAGTTGCCATCAAATGCAAGTCCCTGATACCAGACAAGAGTCACTGGATACATTTGCAAGGCTACCCTGTAAGATCACGCTGGCAAGCCCTAACTGGATTGGATGAATTTATGTACCTTTTGAGTGTTGAAATCTGGGTTTTATCAGTCAATTTAAAGTCGTGCTTGCAGGTTAACACAATGTGCACTAAGTCAAGTTGTGTGTGTTTTTTTTTATTTTATTTTTTTGTCTGGTGTGAGGGGATCCGCACTTATGTTAACACAAATTGAGTCCCTTTGCTCTCTGCAGTCTGTCATTCGAAAGCAGCTGATTCAAATACCCAATTCATACTAAAACCCTTCTTGCCGTGTGTGTGTGTGTCTGACCGATGGCTGTTTAGCTTCAACCGTATTTAAACGCACCTGATCCAGCTAATTGAAGTCCTTCAGGCTTATTTGAAAACTACATGGTTTTTGTGTTGGAGCAGGATGGGAACTAAACTCTGCAGAGCTTGTGGATTGACACCCCTGATATATAATGTATAAAATTTAAGTGTGTATATACTTTTTCCAAACCAGTAAATTAAACCTCCAATAAAATATTTGGGGTAACATTTTTAAATGTAATGACTAAAAATTAATAAAAAAAATACAATGGGCTGCTTGTGTATAATCTGTTTTCAAACTGTTCCTGGAGCCTCCCCAGCAGTATATCTCCTTTATTGGACACACCCAGCTAAAGTCATAGAGTACTCCACTAATCAACTGATAAGTTAATTCAGCTGGGTTACATCCAAACTGAGGGAGACTGCAAAATAAATCCTCTTTAAAAAGAAGAAAAAAATTCTATGTTTGTGATTCAAAAAATGCCAATGGGGTTGAGGCAAGCAGTATTTGGGATGTTATTGGTGTTTGTTGTTGGTTTATCTGAAGCAACCAGCACAAGGTTCACTGCAGCCTGAAACCAGGATGTCTCAGAGTTCTTCAAAATATGACCCTAAGAGTTCTGTACTAAAAAAAACAAGGTTTCCAGTGTGGATGCCCATCAGGAGTGACTATGGAAAGTCTTCTCAAGATCTTTTGGGTGTTCAGTCAAAAGAGCTGTTGCTGGGTCCAGTGGCAAAACTGACATGGAGTTTTCCAAGCCTACCAGAAGAACCACAGCAGCCAGATGTTCCTGTTGAGTTGTGCTATCCTGTCCCTGCCAACAGTGTAGCGGCTCAATGCAGGGAGAATTCAATATATGTGGAAGTGTTGAAAGACTTCTTTGGCACTGGACAACTAACTACTAATGCCCTCTGTTTTTACACTGGGAGGCTCCTTCTGCTCAAGTGCTCATCTTTGAGTTGGAACTGCATGCACGTGGCAGCACACCAATAGTGATGTTATGATTGTTTTATGTGTGTGTGTGTGTGTGTGTAGGTTTCTGTGAGCAACACTTACACTGCTAACCCTTTAGGTGACTGAAAATTAGCTTGTCTATACGTTCTTCATCATCTACACTCCACAAGAGGCTTCATATGGTGGTCCTATTGTCAGGAGCAGAGGTTAGTATTGATTGTCAGTATCCAAGGTAAGGACTAAATTCAGGATTGTTTGGTATCCAAACACCGTTAAATTCACCAGTTGTGGTGACTGCCTTGACACACACACTCACTCCTGTCCCACCCACGTTTTAAAAAAAGTTACGCCACTGGATATGCTGCCATAGTGTGCGAACAACTGTCTTTGCAGGTCTACATCACATGCAAACAACAATACAACAGCGAGAATAAAAGTTATGCCTTCTTTCTTTGCGTGAACATTTGGGCTGCGTTATGCAAATCTTCCCAGATAGTGACGTAGGTATGTGGGGGCGTGTTAGAACGAGCCGTTTTAGGTAGGTGTGGCTGACACTTAACTTTTATAAAGAATATCTCTTTGGATTTGAAACTTTAGTCTTTGCAACTTTACAGATCTTCTTTATGCACCAAGAGCTTGTAACACTCCAAAGAGAAAGGAAAAATTGAAATCGCGTCATATGACCCCTTTAACCAAGACTCAAGATGTTAGCGTAAATGAGGCTGTGCAAGTAATTATTGTTTGTTTGGCAGGTGGGTTTCTGCAGATGACTCTGACCAGGTGTGTGGCTGCTGCAACACAACCTGTAGCATCAGGAGTGGAAGTGATCAGCTTCTTACAGGTATAAACTAAGACCCCAATTATTATTATTATTATTATGTAAGATTCTTTCTCACAATTTGTTTGTTCTTCAGATCTATGGTGGGAGAGAGCCTCTGTTGGGCCTATCAGTGTTAAGGAATATAGCTATGGCCAAATTTAACTGAATAGCTGTGTGGTCCTGTGGAAGTTGAGAATAACGTTTTTAAAACAATCATCTGGCTATTTATGGTTTTGTGTGTGTGTGTGTGTGCAGTAGTGAACTATTTCAGCACTGAGGGTTTATGTGTGTGCACAATGCATTATTTTTTTGCAGGCAATGACAAAGCACACTGAAGCCCATTTCTCAACATTCATTTGCAATCTAGTCTTAAGTAACAATATATAGTGCAAATTGCTCTATAACTGAATGTCAGACAACTGTGTTCATTCTTGTTAAAGGGTTAGTTCACCCAAAAATTTAAATTAGCCTGTGCTTTACTCACCCTCAAAGCATCCTAGGTGTGTGTGACTTTCTTCTTTCAGACGAGTCCAATCGGAGTTATATTAAAAATTGTCCTTGCCCTTCCAAGCCTTTCAATGGGGGTAAGCGGGTGTTGGTTGTCAACAGTTCAGAAGACGTGAAATAAAGTGCGTGCATCCGTAATAAAACGTCCCTCACACGGCTCCGGGGGGTGAATAAAGGCCTCCTGTAGCGAATCCATGCATTTTTGTAAGATAAATATCCATATTTCAAATGTAATAAACACTTTTTTTCTCACTTCCGCTGACTGTGGTACACAGAAGACGTTCAGGCAGATGACGTAAGACGTATGCGTCGTGCGCGGGCCTCTGAGAAATGCAGGAGCAAAGGAAACAACGTTTCCTTACTTTAGCAAAGAAAAACCAGTCCCCTCTTGGATTATATCGAAATCCTCCAACATTTTTCTTTACAAATCCTCGTTTTGTGCTTCTAATCCGTGATCGGCGTTTTGTTTTGTCTCCGCGCTCGTCACTAATCATGCAACGCCAACGGTGAGGATACTGCCACAGAGACAAGCTACTGTACCCCAGAGGTAAAGTTTTTGCACATTTTTTTCTGACTGAGTAATTACGAGGTCACGTAATTTTCAAAATTACAACAAAATAAATGTATTAGCAGTGGTATTTAGTATTGTTATTTTATTGTGTTATTGTTTTTGTTATTGTATATAACTAAAAAAGACATCAACTAATGGCATTCACTACTGAAAACTAATCCCCAGCCTTTTCTGTTATTCATTTCACCAACATAGCATTAAATGGTGCTCCATAAAAGATCAACAGTGTTAAAGGTGACATATCATGAAAATCTGACTTTTCCAGGTTTAAAGTGCTATAATCAGGTCCCAGGTGCATCTACCAACCAAGGAAACGTGAAAAAGATTAACCCAATCAATTTGTTTAGGTAAGCCTTTTTCTGCAGGTGTCTGAGAAAACGAGCGCGTCTGATTTCGCTCCCTTGGTGACGTGGCAAAGGGATCTCATTATAATA